ACTAAAACTGAGTTGGTTTATTTACACTCTGACAGAAGCCAATTGAGTCTATTAATGAGATAAATGCATTACTAATTCCAGTGGAGAAAAGCAAGGAAGGAATGAGAGATAGAGTGAGAAAGAACTCCTTTATCAGCAGGTCAAACTTGTTCTTGACACCTTGGACCAAATTACGTTTTCTTTTTCTACTGTCATCCTCCTGCAAGGTTTCTGTGTTTTAACTAATTTAATCAGAAGACTGATTTAATAAAATCATATGAAGAATGCAGACTTGATGTGCAAAGGCCTTAACGGTTAGTTTAATCTGACAAATAAACCAACAAGGTAACAGAGATGCCTAAGCAGTAAAACAGCATCTTTTGATCATGCAAATATATTTTAGTATTAAAATTAAAATACTCCTTGAACTTGGTTTAGCATGCTAATCAGGAGCTGTCAGCAGTTGTGGAGAGGTGTGAGCTCAAGCCATATCATCACTTTTTTTTGTTGGTAATTTAAGTTTTTTGCACATATTATAGACACAGGTGAAGTCATTACTCTGCTTCCTGGAGTAAAGTCAGTGAAATCCAGAGAGTTATAACTCCTTTGAGGCAGTTCCTACTGTGGTTTGAGTGTTTTCATGGTGTAATAAACCAAGGACATGAAGTTTTTCATAGATGGAAGTGAGTACACTGACCTCACTTTTGGTGGTGGAAAGATTGTCTGTCCTGTGGATGAGTCGGCTTTCCTCCTCTTTGCTGGTCTGGTGGTTCCTGTTAGCAAGTTTCAGCTTCCAATGACAGTTGACGTGTTGATAAATGAAGCCAGGCTGAGTATTTGTAATCCGGTTTAGGAATAGCAAGGTGGTGCCCTGATAAATTCCAATGACTTGTAATTATTGTTTATTCTTGAATGCTTCTGTGTCTACTAGTGCACTGCCATGCTGAATCTGTCTCTGTCTTGTATTCTTTCAGGGGAAGCACGTGTGAACTCCTGAGTTGGATTTGAAAAAATACCAAAAAATTATACTTGACTTTGAAAAAAATTGGCATGAATTTAGTGACATGAGTTGTCATTTTTGTTGATATAGAGATATTTTCCTGAGTGTATTGTTTAAATCAAGTATTGTATCTTTGATGTGGTAGTATTATTATATTGGCATCATTCGTAAAAAAAGTAATGTGTTCAATCACCCTCAAAGCTTAGTTAACTTGGATCTTGCATTATATTTGTTACCTCAGACTTTCTGGCTGTGGACTCTCAGAGACTCACTGTGAAGTTGTGGCCTCAGCTCTGAAGTCCAACCCCTCCCATCTGAGAGAGCTGGACCTGAGTGGAAACTATCTGCATCACTCAGGAGTGAAGCTGCTGTCTGCTGGGTTGAAGAATTTACATTGTAGGCTGGAGACTCTGAGGTCAATATGTCTTTCAAGAGGATTTCCTCATAATTTGTCACTGTGCGTAGATAGCTGTATCTAATTCCTCTTTTGGTGTTTATCCTCCAATTTCAGGCTTGAGAGATGTGACCTGCCAGAGAGCTGCTGTATTTTTCTGGCCTCAGCTCTGAAGTCCAACCCATCCCACCTGAAAGAGCTGGATCTAAGTGAAAACCAGCTGCAGGACTCAGGAGTGAATCTGCTGTCTGCTGAACTAGGGAGTTCAGACTCTGAGCTGGAGACTCTGAGGTCAAAGAGCATTATTGAGTTCTGAATACTGTGACATTTCAGAACATGTATTCAACAAAGGAAAAATTATCAGTTATGGGTGTAACGTTGCATAATTTGGTTTGTAGGAGTAGGGATGTCATAAGACCCGATACCAAAATTTTGAAAACTTGATGGTACTTGTTTTTCTACAGTACCATAGGTGCAAAGGATGCAATTCTTCCAGACCTGACGGTGCAGCATATATGCCTACAAATACTCTAGTTGGCTATAAAATTCCACAGGAAGAAGAAACACATGTTGGCAAGTGCAGATCTACGGGTGATTTACTCGCAAAACTTTGTGAGGCTGCACACTCACTACAGATGAGGAAAACAAACCCTCAGCAAAATACAGTTCATTCAGGTAACTCCGGTAAAGGCTGCAATGAAGAAGCAAACTGGATATTTTAAAAATGGAAATTCTCTCTAGAGAAGATAAAAAAGAGATTACAGAGAAAGTTTGTTAGTTGTGTTTATTAGTTATTTGGTATAATATGTAGATATAATGGGCTATATTCATATTAATATATTATATATTTTTTTTTTAAAGATTAAGGAACAGTTTGGTTGTAGGTTTTTTTTTCTTCCTGCAATGCAGAGCTATTCACCTGTATTATTAAGGAAAATATAAGTATTTGATCAGGACTCTATCAGCAGATCACACAATGAGATCGAGGGCAAAAGAACCGGGTTCCCAGGTCTTAGTATTGACTACTACTTTTCTGGAACCGTGACATCCCTACGTAGGTGTAAGTGAGTGAGTTGGGGTGAGTTGACCTGGAACTGGAATTGTTTCCAAACAACTTTGGCCATAGTGTGACTGACTACCACACCAACCAGCTTGTTGTGCTAACCCCAGCACGTTTATGTAGAAAAAAATCATGTTTGTGAATGTTGGTTCCGCATTATGGTAATCAATCAACATTCTGTGTAGTCTGTTGGAGCCTCGTGGACTGAACTGTGACCCTTGTAGTGTGCCAGTTCAGCGTAAATACAGAAGCTACATACATACAGCTCTATTAGGAATGTTTTATTTTATAATCATATACTGTGTTCAATATTCAGATTGAGGAACTGCAGGTTGTCAGAG